TGTAGGAAACTTGTACCAAAAGAAAATAATGAAAAAGTAAAATATTATAATCATCAAGATTTGTGATACTTTTTGTAAATTTTTGCTTCTCATTAATAAAGCAAATAACAGATAAGAGATCTATTAATATTTAAGAGATTTTCCTATATAAAATATTTTACTATAGGAGAAAAATATAAAAAGTATTGATTCCCCCTTGAATTAAATTGGTTCTATAATATGGGATAAGTAAAGAATGGGTTCTGGAATTAATCTTTCAGATAGAGATCAGAAAGCATTTCTGGATGATTAAGCTCACACATTTAAAACTGTCATTGCTAAATATGGTTTTGAATAAGGAATTGTATATTGGGAAATAAAAGTAGATGAGAGAACTGAAAATGAATTAAAAATTGGTGTTACAAATAAAAGAGATTTTAATTATGATTAAGCATTTTGTGATTTTGAATATGGTTGGGCTTATTATGGATTAGCATAAGTAAATATTTAATATTTAACAATAGTTACGTCATAATAGCAATGCAAATGGTCCTACATATGGTAAAAGATTTAAGAATGATGGATAGATAGGAGTTTGTCTAAATATGAATTAAGGAACATTGATGTTCAGTTTAAATGGAGAATTTTTGGGTTGTGCTTTTAAAGATGAAAAATTAAAAGTTGGACCTATATATCCAGCAGTTGCATTACTTAATTGTGCTGGTTGTAAAATAACAAGTGGTAAACCTGTTCCATAGATATTCTAATTATGATAAATATAATATTATTATTTTTAAACTTAATAGACTTTGTTAATTAAAAATAAAGATTTATTATTTTTGATCTATTTTTTAATAGATTCATTTTTTTATTTTTGTTTGTATATATATATATAGATTATAAAATAATTATATTTAAAATGAATGTACTTTAATTTTTCAATCAAAATATATTTATTTTTATTTACTTGATTTAAATTTATTAATTTTGGAATAATTATTTAAAATTATCAATATTTAAAAAATTCAATCTAAAAGTATAAGTATTACTCATAAGGTATTTTATGAGTAATACTAATGTCTGATAAATCTTTCATATCAGTATCATAAATTAAAAATCATTATTTTTTCATAAGAATAAATATTATTTAATCATATAGATTATTATATTTAAATCATAATAAACACAAAATTAATCATTTAAACTTCATGTTTTCAGGTAGAATTTGAGTATTTCTACAGATTTGATCTATGTTTGAATGAGCTTTCAATCTTTTAATGCCGTTAAAATCTAATAATTTAGATAATTTGAAAATAGCCTCTATTTCATCTCCAAGTTTTTTTATCAATTTTTGATTAACATCACGTTGAGGATTTTCTTCTGTTATCTATTATAATATCAAATCATATGCCTAATCTATTTATTCAAATACTTTATATATTCTTTTATAAATTCGATTATCTCTATCAAGACTTTGAGTACGAAAAAAGGTTTTTTAATTTTATTTCATTATTTAACTTCTACGGATACTTTATGTTTTATTCTATTCAACACTTTATTATTAATTTATATTATTTACGTAGTTCTTGCTCTCTCTTCAAGAAATGTTCTAGAACAAGGTATTTCTTTTTCTTCAATCATTGAAATAATAGGTTTTGCTGCGAAATCAAATAATAACTATTAAGAATTTGAAAGAAGAATTTCTTTTAATTTATCAATCTCATTCAATTTAGTCAAAATATTAAACACATCTAATTATTCATTAATTTTATCACTAATATTATATAAATATTTATACACTGCTTAATTATAAAATAATACAGAAAGTGAATTCTAAAAAGCTTTTCTTAAACACAATTAATTTAAAAAGATCTTTATATTAAAACACAATGGTTACGATCTATTTAAAATTAAATTTATTTATTTTTTAAAATAATCTAATCCATTTACACAATTAATCTATTAAGCTAAAATATTTTAATCCTTTATAGCCTACTATGTAATTTAATTACTCTTATCTTCATTATCATTTGAAACTTAATTTAAAAATTCATTATTTTCAGTAGGTGGTCTATCTATCAAAATAACATGTTTATCAGATTAATTTTTTCCAAAAAGTCTTAGAAGTTTGTTTTTATGCCTTATATTACTAGTAGGTATTTATTGTTATTAACCTTCTCTATTTACTTAGTATTCTTGTCTAAATTATTTATCTTCTTAAACAAAATCTATCAATTTTAAATTTTATTAATGCTATTTATTTTATTCTTCAATATCAGTACTGAACTCATAAACCTTATTTGATAATTCTACAAGCACTATTTAATTTATAAATAATTTTAACTTGCTATTTTATTATATGCTGATATTATGAATCCCATAACAATCAATGAAATCTAAAGTAAACCTCCCAATTAAGATAATAAATCAATTATGCTTTAATTCTTTCTCTCAATCAAATTAGTGATTGGACTTTTACGAAAATATAATGCTGCATAAACAGTATCTGAATCTCTTCCTAATTCAGTAATTTCTTTTGTCTATGTATCATCTATAGATATAAAATTAGAATTTTGATCTTCACTTAAATTAATAATGATATATTTTACTTAAATGGATACAGATCAAGATTATTTTAGAATTAATATTATCTAAAGTATATATTTGACTATTTATTAATTTGTTTAGGTACAAATGATAAATAACTCCGATCATCCAAAAATAAAGATACATAGTCTGATCCAATTTTATTAGCATTTATAACCTATTTTCATATTTTAAATATTACTTTATTTATTAAATACACTTAAACTTTGAAAGTTCCTTTCTCTTCCAATTATTTTTTTAATTCATCCTCTGATGCACATCTTCTATCAGTATATTCACTTTAATTGCATGATGTAACTTCAATTTTAAGAAAGTTAAAATTATTAGCTTATTATATATGAATTATATACATGTAAATGTACCTCCAATATTCATACTTATTTAATTTCTAAAAAGTATATGAAAATGTTTTACAAAGGGCAAAGCAAGTTTTTGAGTTAGAGCCTCTCAAAGTCGTCTGTAAAGTTTTAACCGTAGCGACTGAAAATTGACTGGAAGCGCTCTAAGGTACATGGGACTAAAGGAAGTGAAGTAATATTTTTTAAAATTGTTCCATTTGAAAGTCTTTCATACTGTCTTACTTAATTCATAAATGTATTACCTTTATTATAAATTTAGAGTAAAGTATGGCTGACTTAAAAAGTTATTTTATTCAATTCCCATTGCCATTATAAAATCTTGATCATCTAATTGCAGATTTGATAGATTGTCATCATAAACCTAAGTTTGTTTAGTTATGATATTTTTTCCAGTCAAATAATCGACAAAATTGGATGAAAAAAATAAAAACACAAGAAAGATTGTTGCTATGGAAGTAAAACCACCAAAAGATGATTAATAAGCAGATTTTTGATTCATTCCAAGACTTGGGGACTAAGCAAATATATCACATACTCTTAAGTCTCATTCTACTAGTTATCTATTTTTACATTAATTTATTTTGTCCATGATGAAATATTGTTTTTTTAATTTTATTTGAATACAAAATTTCCAAAAACAAAAACTAATTAAATATTTTAAGTAAGCCACTTTTCTTTTTTGATATTAATTATAAGATAAATTATAGTTTTTTAACTTATGATTAATTTACAGATTCATTAAATAAAAAAGTAATAATAATAATATCTAATTTGATCATATTAATAATAATAAATTTATATACCATATTATTAAAAATATTAGCTGAAAAAAATAATTATTAACTTTCAAGAAAGAATATTTAATTTAAAATTTTATCAATGGAAAACTAAAGAATTTGGACAAATAGTTCGAATTTTATTAAATAGTTAAAGAATGATTGTTAAGTTAACATTAAAGAATAAACATAATTTGAAGAATAATTACGTGTACCAATAATATTTGACAATCCTTGTGCTTAATGCTTTAAAAAGTTTAGAAAAAGAAAGCTTGTATCTAATGTTACTTAAATTGATCCTTATATATCTGAATTTTATTACAAGAACTAGCATGAATGTTTCTCTAAGAATTAGTATTTTTATATTTTTATACTAGATTCTCAATTGAGAAAAATGATGATTAATTATAAATATTCTAACATTAAAAATGTAAAATTCATTAATACAAAAATATTTTAAATTGTGCTATTTGTGACAATATTATTAGTAAAAGAAACTATTATAAATGTTTAAAATGTAAAGCATAATTTTTCTTTTAAAATGAATTTAATCCAATTTTAGAATGTCCTGAATGTAATTTCAAATTTTGTAAATTATGTAAGAGATAAAAACATTTATTTAACTATTATGAATGTACTTGTTATTATGATTATGGTTATACAAATTCTTTTTATTTACTACTATTGATAGTATTTTAAATCTTAATATTTCCAATCCTTGTTTATGGAAAAAGCTTTTAAGTTGGAATGGAAATAGCATCATTATTAATCCCCAAAGTTATTGAACTTTATTTTTACACAGGGAAATATATATTTTTATTATTAATTCTACCCTTAATTGTAATTTACTTAATAGTATTTTTGGTTTTGTATTGGATATACATATTACCAAGAAGCATATATTTAAGTGCATTAGATATTTATGATCTTTTAGCTTAGATTTATAGAAATTTTTATATAGAATGATTTATATTTTGTATAAATTAATATGAATTCTCTATATTAATCATTATATTCTATATTTTAGATTCTACTTTAATAAAAAATAAAAGTAATTAAATATCAGAATTATTAAGAGGTATTTTTATAATTAAATATGGATTTGAAATGAATTTTTAAGTTTATATATATAGATAGAAATATGAATAAATGATTATGTTAATTATTATTGTATAAAAATAGATTATAATTAATTAAATAATGAATTGAATGTTTATATAGTTAGATAAGAAGGTTTGATAGAGTGATAAAATAAAGTTTATATTTTAATTAAAACAATAATGAAGAAATAAGATTGGAAATTCATGTAAGTATTTGGTGATAAGGCATCTTCTGACAATGTAAGTGACGAGGATATCATATCTGCAGTGTAATTTGAAAGGACTGGAAGATTATTAGGATTAGGAGACAGAGCTGGTCGATTGATAATATTTGAAGTGCCATAGAGTAAGAAGAGAGATAAAGCTGAATATTAGTATGAGTTTTAATGATTGTTTAGATATTTAACAGAATTACAATCACATACAAGGGAATTTGATTTTCTTAAAAGTACTGATATAGAAGAGAAGATTAATCAACTTTAATGGTTAAGAGCATAAGGAAAAAATATGTATATATTATCAACAAATGATAAAACGGTGAAGTTATGGAAGGTCAGTGAAAAAAATGTAACTAAAGTTATCAAACCAAGTGGTAAGGATTTGGCAATGCCTAAATTATAAGTTGTTGAGACTGGATTGATTCCTAGGTAAATAATTAATAAGATTAGAAAGTGTGAGAAAAGTATTTCCTAATTTGCATAATTATCATATAAATTCATTGACTGCTTCAAATAATGAAGAATTTGTTTTAACATCAGATGATTTAAAAGTATATTTATGGAGTATTGAATAACCATCAAAAGCATTTGTGGCTGTTGATTTGAAACCTGAAAATTTAGATGAATTAAGTGAAGTGATAACATCATCAACATTTCATCCTATATTGGATAATTAATTTTTATATACAACTAGTAAAGGAATAATTAAATTATGTGATATGAGAAAATCAGGAATTTGTGATAATACAGCTATTACAATGGCAGAACCAGAAGATCCAGCTAAAAAGAATTTCTTTACTGAAATAGTTACATCTATATCAGATGCTTGTTTTAGTAGAAATGGAAAATATATATTTTCAAGAGATTTCTTAACTGTTAAAGTATGGGATATTGCTATGACCAATAAACCAGTTGCTACAGTTTAAGTATTTGAACCTTTAAAATCAAAACTATGTGATCTATATGAAAACGAATGTATATTTGATAAATTTTCAATACAATCAACACTTGATTCAAATAGTTTTGTAACTGGTAATTTTAATAGTACCTTCCATATTGTAGATAGATTAGGTAATATAGTTTATTATTATTTTAATAGGTGAATGTAATTCATAATATGAATTGAATTTCAATAAGAAAACTGTAGTGAGACAGATCCCACCAAAATATTTCGAGAATTTGGGATCATCATATGATTTTAATCGTAAAGTTTAGAAAATCAGCATGTGCTAAACTCAAAACCTTGTTGCAATTGCTTGCCTCAATTGTCTCTATTTCTATACAGCATGACAATTAATATATATATATCATATAGTATTTATAGATATTGATTCTATTATTTAATAGTTATCAACCTCTTCTTGGAACTGAAACAACAATATTTTTATCATTGTGGAATATTCTTACTCTGTTAATTCTAAAATCTCTAGTTGTTGGAGATCCTTCAAGTAATACTTAAACATTGATTTCAACATCATCAGCTAAAATTAATTACTTAGCTTCATCTACTGTTTTACCAACAGCTTCTGGCCATTCTTTTTTTTCAGCTTACATCTCTTTCTTATATACTGATAATAATAAATAATAATAATTATTATTATGTTTATAAATAATAAATAAGAAATTGCATCTAATTCATATTAATTAGAATGCAACAAAATAAATAATAATAAAAAAAGTATAACAGCATTCTTAAGTAGCGTTGAGAATATTGAAATATGGCCATGTGTTATTTATTATACTGTCACAATATACTATCATTTTTTTGTTTTGTATTTTGCTCCAAGAACAAGTTACAATTTTCCTCCTGTTGATCTACCTAATTGACTTGAGCATTTGCTAACATATTATTGACTTTCTTTACATGCAAGTAACAATGCCTCTAGCATGTGAAAATACAGTGTTATTAGTTGAACACTATGGACATTTAACATCCATGAAATATGAATTAGGTGCTTAAATCAATCTCTTTAATTTGTGCTTTCTCTTTTCACTCTCATATTAAGGTCTCAATAAATCTTGGTCCATTATTTAAATTTATTTTTAAATTAATTTATTTATTTCAAACATACTCTAATGAAAAAGATGACATCTCAAAGCAAAAAGATCAATTTGAAACACATTAAGACTCTATCTAAATTTGAAATTTTTACGTCCACCAGAATGCTTTAGATCTAATAAATATTATACTTTCAAAGGATGCTCTCTAAATTACAAGAACAATAATAACTTCACCCAATTAATATTGATTATAAACAAATTTGTCAATAAACTTGAGGAAAAGAACCAAGTGGAATTATTAGAAAAATAAATTAAGAGAATTATGCAAGTCTATCAATGCATATGACCAAGCAAAAGATATTATTTATTGAACAATATAAAAATACTCATTCAAAAGGAATACCTAATAAAATTCAGGCTATTATCTTTAATTTTGTTGATCTTTAAGAGATATCCTAAATATATGTAGAGTGGCTCAAATTTATGGGTCTATCATTAATGATTCAATTCTAGCTAAAATAAATTTATAACTTTTGAATGAATTTAATTATTAATAACTGATTGCTCATTGAATACCTAAGGATATCAAGTTAGATAATATATTATGGAAAACATAAGGTTATATAAAACTAATTGAGTTTGGTATTTCAAGAAATCTTGAATTATCGAACATAAACCTATATGTATATAGAGAATGGGAGCCACAAAAAATATGTAAAATTTAGAGTTTAATATATGAATTAGCTATGGGGAAGTATTACTTATTTTTAAAATAGTAGATGCAGTAGTTAATGAAGAATAACCTAAACTTTGAGGAAAATTAATTCTCTTCTGAAATAAAAAGTTTTCAAACTCAGTGTTTAAATAAAGAATAATATATTTTAGATTGGTTTTAGCATATAGAACATTATATATTGCTTATTGCATTATAAAATAGAGGTAATTAAAGTTAAAATTAAAAACTAAAAAAGAAATTAGAGAAAGATTGATTAATAATTAAGATTATATATATTATTATATACTTAGTTAAAATTATTAATATTTTCAGTTAAAAAGTACTAATCATATTATAATATTAAGTTTTGTATTAATAATAGAGGTTAAATAATACAAATTAAACTCATTTTTGTTTTGAGAATGGATTTTGAATAGTTTAATATAATAATCTGGAGAGGTTGGATATATTGTTTAACAATGTTCCAACAATATTGTACATCAATTCTACTGTAGTAATGATTGATTGATAGAGATTGATAACAATAGCAAAAGTAGTTGCAATCACATACATATAGATTTGAATCAGTAATATGAATTTATAGAACCAATTATTATGTGATAAAGCATAACTCACATATAAGTTATTGTAAGTATATATTCTCATAAATAGATCAGATATTAAAATAAAAGGAAAGAGTAATAGACTAGTAAGTAAAGCCAATAAAATTCCAAACATAAATTTAAGAATTGTAAATCCAAAGTCTCTAAATCTAAAGTTAGATTTTTTAATTTTATATTTCTCTATATGTTCATTATATGTAGGTTTAATACCTTCTTAATTTTTGTGTTTAATTGCTCTTTTTAAACTCAAAATAAATAGAACAATATTGATACTAATTTTCCATTTTTACATAACTTCAGAATTCCAATTATATTCTTTTCTCTATTTTTCTTTTTATTCATAATGTGGATTTCTAAATTAAATTCTCTTTTTCTAGTATTATATAGTTTATGAGCATAACATGCCCTTTTAAATTTTAGAAATTTCTTCTTTATCTCCATGATCTGTAGTATTGATTTCAATTAGTTTATCTGATTCACTTATATTTTAAATAACTAATTATATATGTTTAGGATCTTGTGAAGAGTCATCTTTTAATTCTTTTTTATAATGAATGCTGTTGGATGGAGAAAATATATTTTATGCTTCATATTTATTGTATTCATTCATAGAATCTTTTAGACTATCATTAATTCGATTTAAACTGCTATCATCTGTATTTTAAATCATTTTAGTATTATTAGGATCTTCATTATCACCTTAATGATTTTGATACTCCCTATAAATTGGTTTATTCATTAATTATTATATTTAACATAAAATAGAATTCAGTAATGATCATTTCTTTGTAATTTATACTTTAAAATTAACTTCATTATTGAATTTAATATTGTTCATATTAATTATACAGTTTATATATTCAAAATAATATTGATATACATAATTCATCTATTATTATTAACTATTATTTTATACATAATAAATAAAGAATAAGAATAATTAGAATTTAATAGTATATAAGACTGTCAAAAATAAATTAATAATTTAATAAAAATGGGTTGTGTAGCCTAGAAAAAAAAAGTGGAAAAATAGATATATCGAATGGAAACTTAAATAAAGAAGTTGGTTTAATAGAATGAAGAGATGACAAATTAAATAAATACAATGAGAGAGTAAGAATAATTGTTATCATAACTATGTGAATAAAGATCTGAAAGATAAGTATTTACTTAATAATCTATAGAGAATAGATTTGACTGCTTTGACAGATGAATTAAATAATAGATTTGAAAAGTTAAGAAATGATTTAAAATAAATTGATATTATTTGTGAGGAATAGAAATAGGCAAAATTAAAAGAAATGTTAGAATGGAAGAATGTAAATAATATATTAATTATAATAGTTATTTGATAAATTAGATAATGTTTCAAAGAATAATTTATCTCAAATATCAGAAGAAGATGAATATTGATTATTTTTTGTATATATATATATATAATATATATATATAATAAAAAAAGTGAATAATAATATCATAAATACTACTACAATATTCTTTAGAGATCATTTAATTAAATTGGTTTTGTTAAGTAATCTTTCATACCTGCTTGTAAACATTCATTTTTTTATTCAATACTTTCATATGCAGAACATCCTATTATTGTGATATTTATTCCGAAATTTTAGGATAATTCTAATAATTTTTTGGTTGTCTAAATTCCATTTATATTAGGCATTTCTAAATCCATAAATATCAATTTATAAAAATCATGATTAATTTACCATTTTTTTTAACATTTCTCTATTGCAGAATAACCATTACATGCTGAATCTACTGAATCAAATCCTCTTATAATATTATATTAAATTTACAATCTATCAAGTTTTATCTTCATCATTTCAATATTCATACAAATGTCATCTACTATCAATATTTAAAAAGTCATTATAGCTTTAGTTGATCTTTTAAATATTGAAATGTGTTTCTGAACATATACTTTATGAATACTTTCATCTTATTATTATTACATTATAATAGATTCTTCACTATCTTAATTACGTTCTTCTAAACTATTTAATGATTAAATTTCATTTAAATCTTAATATCCAATTTAAAAGTAGAATATTGAACCTAAATTTATATAATCTAAATACCTTTCTTATATTAAGAATTAAATTTGAGACCACTTTATAAATCTTAATTCAAATTTTATAATATTTAATTACTAATTAATAATCCTAAACCAACACCAGATTTATTCATCTTTTTGTGTTCTTCACTATTACCTTTACCAAAAGCTTAAAATATTTTGGCTTAATCTTCATCTGTTATACCTATACCTGTGTCAATAACTGATACATCTAATTTTTGATTTATTAAAGAAACTTTAATAGTGACTGATCCATCATCTGTAAATTTGAATGCATTACCTAATAGATTAATCATAATTTATTTTAATCTACTGGAATCAGAATAAATAAATCTTGGAACTTTACTTTCATAATTTATAAATAATTTAATTTATTTCTTTTCAGCTGTAACCTAAAATAAATCTGCACAACTTTCAAGTAATAAATTAAAATTAAATTTGGCTTTATTTATTTTAAATTTTCCAACTTTTATTTATGCTAAATCCAAAAGATCATCACTTAAATTTAATAAATATTTAGTATTATCTAAAGCAATTTTTATTTATTTATTTATTTTTATAGGATAATTAACTTTCATGACTCTCATACATTCTTTTTCCATTATTACTGTTTATGATTAATGTTTTTATTCTTCATCTATTCCTAATTCTAACATCTCTATTATACAATTTAAAGGTGTTCTATATTCATGACTCACAAATGACAATGTTTTTGATTTCTATTTGCTATATTCTTATAATGCTTAAATATAATCTCTATGAGTTATATCCCTTATCAATATTAAAATATAAGGTGTATCTTTAATTAAAGCATTATACAATTTCACTTCTATTGCTCTTTTTTTATTACCATCCTAAACTTTTTAGTATCCATAAATTACAATATGTTCCTAAATTAATTCATTTTAATATTTCATCTGATTTAAAAATTCATTTTTACGTAATTGTTAAGTTAACAATCTGATCTCTTATTCTAAAATCTAAGAATTTTCATAAAATATTACTGATTCATCATATAAAGTATCACATTTTTTTAATAATACTCCTCTAGTTTCTAACGAACTCAATACTGAATTTTATCGTAATAATTCTATTTTTTATGATGCTTACAATTAATTTGTTTGGGATCTCTTTTGATTACGAAAACCATTATGAATGATATTACATGGAATTGGAGTTTATTAATAAGTACAAAATGAACTCATTGAATTTCTATATTCTTATTACTATTTTTATTAAATATCAGTTATTTATTGTTGTTCTAAGTTAAATAATTTTTATAAAATTTCATCTGAAGATTATGCAGTAGATAACTTTAACATATTTTCATTATGATATTCTAACTCTAATTATTTCTCACATACTTTAAATAATCCTATTCCTTATGGAAATATGCTTAAAATCTCTAATTTATTATCTCTAGGACTGTCATTAATATTACTTGGTTTTTCTTGAAATTTAATTCTTGAATGATTATTTGTGTGACCTGCACTATCAATTACTATTTTATCAGGTATTTCTCCCTAAGTATAACTATCCATACTCTTCTTAAGCTTTTTATGTTTAGAATTATAAAATAAAATTAGCCAATGAATTAAAATTGCTATTATTGATAGATGAACTTCTTTTAAACTATTAATTGAACATAATGTAAATAGAATAACATCAGAAACTACATGATGAATAATCAATAGCTTCTTAAGTTATATTATTTATAAATTTATTTTTGTATTAAAGAACTCTTTAGCATTACATAATGCTAAAATTGTCATAAAATTTTAGTTAGATCCAAAATAAATGGCTATAAGCAAACTCCATTGTTATATCAAATCAAAATATTGAATATATTCTTTGATTTAAGTAATCAAACATATTATAATTCTTAAAACCTAAATAAATATGACCAATATAGCTATTATTATTGTGCCATTTCCAAAGATATTTTGAAACATTACCAATAGAGACACAATGATCATCATTAAGTTATCTTTAAATACTCTATTAAATCTATTCATATAACAAAAATTAATTTATTTATATATTCAATTAAGTTCTCTCAAAAAAAATACTTAGATAAATTCAATTATTCTTAATTTACCATTCTTTTCTATCTATAATTCTTTCAATTATTAAACACAAAAATCATGAATAATCTTTTTAAAAATAAATTCATAAAAGTCAGTTTATTCATTTTATTTCTAATAGTAGAGAATTGATTAATAATAATTATTGTTAATATCTAATAACTTTATATAATTTCATTTTATAACTATTACAAAAAGATAAATTTGAATTTCTCAAAAGCATAAAGTTAATAAATCCTAAAAAACACTGAATAGAATTTAAGGATTTAATTTAATATAAATTATAAGGATTAAATTTATTTTATCATAAATTCCAAAGTTCATAAAAATTTTTATATTAAAATATTTATAAATTTTTGATAACGCATTTGACACAAATTAAATGAACAAAATTTATCATAAAAATTAAATAAAAGAAATTAGAATATTTTGATTGAATTAAATAGAAAATTTGATATTATTTCATTTGAAACATACAATAAACTAGATTATATTTTAAGGAGCAATTTACAATGCTATTTCTAATTATAAATATTAATTTATTACTATCTTAAAATCAAAAAAAGTTGGACATAATAGAAAATTAAAAATTATTAAAAGTTAAATAATTTTAAATTATCTATTGAGTTATATTTAAAATAATATTATATATAATCTTTAGAACCATTAATATTAATATTAAAGTATTTATATCTTTATTAATAAATATATGTTAATTAATTAAAATTATATGTTATAGAAAAATATTATTATATAATATTCTTTATTCTAATAAAAAATGTATTATAAATAAAAATACTTCTTTTCTTTTTTGAAATTCAATCCAAATAAGAATTATTATCAAACCCTTAATCTCACAAATAGAGCAACTCAAGATGAAATTAAGAGTGCTTTTTATACTCTAGCTAAATTATATCATCCTGATAAGAATCCAAATTCAATTGATTAATTTAAAGCAATCAATGAAGCTTATGAAGTACTCAAAAATCCGGCTACAAAAAAGGATTATGATTAAATTTAAATAAACCCTGTAAAGTATTAGAAGTAGCAATATGAGAAAAAATATTATTAATAGAGTTGTAATAAAATATTGGATTTTTAGCTTATTAGGAATATAACCAAAATCAAGAATAATTTAGAAAATCATATGAGGAATATCAAAAACAATAAGCATTTAAATAATATCACTTTTATTCACGTACAGGATATGATTATTAAGATCCTTTCAAAGATTATAGTAAATATATGAGAGATGAATAATATGTAAATTTTATTCAATAATAACTTTTTAGAATAATTATTCTAATAGAAATCCAGCTCCAAGATATTTAATAATATTTATGATGGCAACATCAGCTTTTTTATTTTTTGAATTACTTGATCTATTTGCTAATAATAAGAAAGTCATTTTAACTGATTAAATAACAGGATAATAATATATAACAACAAGACAAGAATTAAGAAATAAATCATATATTAACAGAGAATAGTAGGAATTTGAAAGAAGAAAAACAGAGTATAAAATCATGTAATAGGAAGAAATAAGAAGAATTAGATAAAGAAAATTCGAATAAATAATTGAAAAATGAATAATTATTAATAGTAATTTATTAAAATCAATAGAAATTTCATGAATTTTAAATTACTTATTCATTTATATTATAAAAATATGTTGTTTAATTTTTAAAAGTATCATAGGTTGTTGGGACAAATCAATAAAAAATTAGAAAAAATTATGATAATAGATTGATATCAATTACTGTAAAAATGTTCCCATAACAAAAAGTATAGTTTATTATTAAATTTAATTAAACTTAAGTTTTTAGTTTGCTTCAATCTAGTAAAGGATTAATAATATATAGTAATTAATATTCTGTTCATATAAGAATTAGGGATATTTAAATAAAATTAATAAACTAACATAGACATTATTCATAATCTTCAAAGAAAGGATTTTTTGCAAGCTAAAGATATGGTTTAACTATTTTAGAATTATAGATATTTATCGAAATCCATTATATTTCATATTTGAAAAACACAAATGATAACATAATTTAATATTTTTTTCTAAATGTTATGATGATTTCTATTTAAAATAGAATTCAAATTTAGTTATTATATGCTATTATAAAATTAATTTTTTTTAAATAGAAACTATTTGCATTTTTGAATCTATAGAAATATAACTAGTATTATTTTTATTTAATCAATTAAATATTAAAAAAAATTTATATAAAGCTTTAATGATAGAATTTTGGAATTCAATTATTAATTTCTATTATAGAAGAGAGTGTTTGTATGTTTGAGGATAATCTATTCTAAGAAGGCTTAAATGATGATTTAAATTCATATAATCAATTTGAATAAAACAATTACCATCCAGAAATTATTGAATACAAAGATTAGTAAGATGAACAGATGATGAAAAAAAATTGTATTGAGTGTCATTAATAAGAACCAAACTTATTCTAAATTGAATTAGAGAATGATGAAGAGAGAGTGGATTATAAAAATTTACCTAAATTAATAGGAAACAATTTTGAAAAATATCTCTTATAAAATGAAAATACTATTCCAAAAACAAAAGGGTTGGAAAATTTTTTAAATGAGAGAAAGAATAGAAAGAATAAAAAAGATAAACAAATATCTACAAAAATATCTGATTTAAGAGAATTATGTTAATCTGACTTGTAATCAAGGAGAATTTTTATGATATATATAAAAAAACAATTCCTTATTGATTTGATAAACAGTACTAAAATTGAAAATCCATTAAAATATATAGATGGGATTAGTACATATTTTGCTACAGCTATATTACCAGACAACATGATTAGTAGTCATATAATAAGTTCAAAAAAGAAAATAACAAAAAAAAAACTGTGATATATATATAAATACATATATAAATTTTAATAGAATTTGTGAATTATCATTAAAGTTAAAAATCAAATGATCGTTGTATTTTTATTATATCAAGAAATATATTTTATTACTAAATTTTTAGATGATGATAAATCAATATTAAGTATAATTAATATAAAATTTAGATTAAAATAGAAATAGACGATTCTGTTTGTGATTTTAGGTTTTCCGAAATAGAAACACAAGATTATTAAGAAGTTTATTTATCTGATAATGAATCAAGATTATATTTTTGAACTTTTTGTAGGATATACCATCTTATACTTCTCTTAAATAGAAATAAAATAGAAAACTTTATTTGTTTTATTTAGAATTCAATTTTATATTTTTTATTGTATTTGTGTATTATATTAGTAATTATAAGGCAGCAGTCAATGAACCAGATTAATTGATAAGTTATTTTTACATATATTTAATCATAATTACCTAACATTTTTCATTGATATTTTTATTTATCATTATAAAAATAAAAATTTAATAATCAAAGCATAGATTTAACAAATTTGAATAGTAAATATTATATTAATGAATCATATGTATTATGTTAAATTAGGAAATTCAATATTATTTTAAGTGCTTTAAATTTAGAATTAGTAATTATTAGCAATGAGTTCTCGAGTTCAATTCTTAAAGTATTTTATGTTTTCATACGAATGAGAAAGAATAATTAATATTGAACCTAATCACTAATAATATATATATTGAATATATTTTTATGTTTTTATGTTTATGTTATAATGAATTCAGGCAAAGGTCTTTTTGGTCATAATGTTGTAGAAATCTTCAAATGTTACTTAAGCATCTCCATCTGAATCAGCTCTATCAATCATTTCTTATAATTCTGAATCATCCATAGTTTCTCCTAATTCTTTAGCTACCTTTCTTAAATCTTTTAAGGTAATAACTCCTGCTCTTTCTGAATCAAACAAATTAAAGACTTTCTATTATAATTTAAGGTATAAAATACTTGGATATCAGCTCTTGAATCTCTTTCACTAATTCTGGCAGTCATCAATTTCAAAAATTCTGCAAAATCAATTTAACCACTTCCATCTGTATCTAAATCACTAATCATTTAGTAAATGGTTTGATTTTTTGCTTCAAATCCTAAAGAAGTCATTGCAGCTTTTAATTCCTTTGGATCAATAGATTAAGTGCTGAATAATGATATATATAAATACCCATCTGTATCGAATAAATCAAATGCTTCTTTGATTTCCAAAACTTCTTCTTCAGTCAAACCAGGTTTAACAAATTCAGCTGGATTGAATTTTCCTGTTTGATTCTTTTAAGCAGGGGGAGCTTATTATGGTGGTGGTTACTATCCTCTTCGTGCCATTTATTAAGAAATATAATTATTTATTAAAAGATATTCACTAATTTATTTCTGTATTTCTAATATTTATTTTGTTTTAATAAATTATTAACTATAATTTGTTTTCAAATATCATTAAAGTATATTAATAAAATTCAGGATTATTTATTGAATAGATTTAATTCTTATTACAATTTAAATATCTATTTTGTATTTATATATCAATTATAATTATTATCTTCAAGAGTTATAACTTATATATGATATCATTTACTATGATTTATTATAAATATATACATGAATTCATAAATTCAATCTATTATTTTTTATAAATAGTATTTTCTCATATCTTTCTAATAATAGAATTATATGAATAAGATGAAAACTTATTTTTAAGTTCTTTTTGTATTCCAAATTAGAATGTAAAATTATTTATTTTTTCCTTTATGATTTAATTGTTATCTATTTCAAGAAGTACTTTTAATTTTAATAATTAAAATTATATTATACATTTATAATATATAATAATACTATGTAATTGAGATTATCAATATTTAATAAAACATAATTGAAATTCAATTTGATTAAATATGTAAACTAAAGGATTTCTTTAGACAGATTTTTTTATTTCGATGATCATTATTATTATCTACATAATAATCATCTTTTATCTATCCTTCTATAAGCAATTTCTATATTTATAAAACATTTATTGTATTATTTCTAGGATATTTAAATTGTTAAAGTATTTTACATTAAGGATTGATTGTCATTGTTTATGTTAAGACTCTATCAAATAATGAATCAAATTTAATTTTGAACTAATATAATGCATTACCTAAATATACTCATATAATTTACTACTATTGTAGGATTCTACTTTTTTTTTTAAGATTTAATTTTAGATTTAATTTTTAAAATCATATGATCTGCAATTATTTAATTATTATCCTTTTTATAAATATAATGATGATCGATCAATTACTTGATAAATGGGTAAAAATATTAGGTAAATCAATATAATTGAGATGAATATTAAACCAATAAAAATTGATATTACAATTTATGCAATCCACTAAATTTCTTTATAAAATATTTAATTTAAATCTTTCATTTATTCAGAAATATCTTTTTCTATTTATAAATCATAAAAAAGAATTAAATAATAATTTATGTTTCTAAGCTTTTATATAGTTATTACAACATCTTTTTCATATACAGTATTATATCTACATAATATATTATGAGTTTTTAGATAACATGTAGATTAAAAAATATTTTTATTATGATAATTGATTAGAGAATTCCAATCTTCAGAATTAAAACCTGTTATTTCAGAATCTGCAAAATTTTTAAGTTCGGATGAATTTGATATTTCTTTATTTTTATAATTTGTTAATAATAATTGTCCATTTTAATCAGCTATCATAATATTAATTGTGTTCATTTTTATCATACTCTTTTAAAAAACTATGTCAGAACAAAATATCCCTTAAACATCCCAAATTAAATTAAGCATTGATTACGTCATTGTCATAGAATAAGTAGGTTCTGTACCAAAATATTTATAAACATCACTTAACTGAGTATTATTGTATTTATCTTTTTTTAAATTTTCAAAATGTTATTAATACCATATTCTTTCTTTAGGATGAAAATTTGGTACTTTTATAGATTAAGGATAAATATAAGTATATTCATAAATGTCTATTGAAGATACAAAATAAAATTAATTAGGCATAAATGGATCATCAAGACCCATCATACTTAAGATAATTGAACTTATTAAATAAGTATGATTTCTTAATATTTATTCTGTTGAATCTTCTAAAGGTTCAATATCATTTTAATTAATTGCAAAATAAGAATAGCATGGTATAGAATAGAAATGATCAGGAGGCATAAATGATGAGTTATAGTCACAAAGACGACTAATTGGTTTATTGATCCAAATGTTATTTCTTAATTAAAGCCAATATAATTAATTCAGATTAGTCAAGGTAATTTATGCTTATATGATATATAAAATTATACTTCTAGTAAATACAGAATTCAGTTATCCATTTATAGAATCTGCTGAATTTGTTAGATGATTAAACATCTCTTTAAGCATACTATCCTTCTCAGAATCACTTAGTATTTATTAAACATAATATAAGTTAATTGTTTAGGCCAATATTATTGAAGGAATGATTATAGCTAAAATTACACAATTGATAATTAAAATCTAAGTTCTCATTTTTAATTTTCCTAATTTAGAGCCAAAACATTGATTTACTATAGAGGTCTAGGACTAATAATTCATTATTTGACAGATTAATAAAATAATATAATAGATATCAAACACAATATAATATTAAGTATGATATATATATATTTGTAAAAGCTATTTATATAAACATTTATTTAGTTTTTAAATTAGAAATGAAATTTGCATTTGTAATATTAATTTTAAGGTTTATTTTTAAATTACCTTCCTTTAATAAAAAATAAAGTTAAATATACATTTATCAGAGTTTAAGATAATTATGTTAATTATGGTAAATTAATGATAATTATTTATAAATTATTCAAATATTAGAACAATAAAGAATATATCACTTCAGTGAAAAGGAATGCTCATAAGATTCATCAAAGAATGTTACTTAAAAGTTCCATACTTAGATTAATCAATTAAGTTTAAATTTTATATATAAACATCTTAATTAAATTTATATATTTATAATACATTCTTATTTACATCAATAAATCAATAATTATTCAAAGTAAGAATTAATGCTTATAAAATATATATATTAACTATTCTGAATAATTGATTTCATAAAACTATTTAAATAACAATTAAAAAAGTCATGTCATTGTATCAAGCTTCAAGAAGATTTATTAATTATATTATTTATCTAAAGTTATGATTAATTGATATAGATTAGCATCATTATGATTGATTGCATATATTAATTAAATATGTTGTGTTGTAATTTAAAAATACTTAATATTTAGAGATTATATGATATTATATATTTTTATTAATAATAATAATGAATCAATAGTTTTTTGGCAACACAAGATTGGCAATCCAAAGAGCTTAATAACTTCATTTATTCTTCACAGAATCAGTTATTTATGACTAATTCAAATACACAGCTAAAATGCCTTAATATCCAAAGATTGTATTTTTACAATCAAATCCATTTGTTAGAAATTTAGTTGAGAAGTATTGAATAAAATATATTTTTAGATAATTTGTTTAATATTCAATTGTAGATGCATAGAAGACAACTGGAGAAGTAAGTGATTTATAAATGGTTAGGACAATGTTGCTAGATTGGCTGAATAAGTTTAATTATAATCTACTTAAACAAATGGTGCATTATTATTTGGATTCCCTAATAATGCTGTTGAAGCTGAGAAGTAAATATTTAATTGAATAATTATTAGACTTGATCGTTTATTGGATGGTGTTAATTTGGCTGTCAGATTCAAATTATCTGAATCATTAGCATAGAAAATAGCAGGATCATATTTATCATGTTAATCATGCGGTAAAGTATTCAACACAAGTCTTCCATTTGTTACTCCAACACATCCAGGTTATTAAAATAATGTAAGATAAATAATATTAAATTTAGTGTTAAACTCCAAGTAAATGTGCTTTGGAATAGAGTTCTGCACCAGTTGATTAAGTAAATGCAGAAGTTACCAATTATTATTAATAGAAAGTATGAATTTATTATTGAATAGTTTAGGGTGCATATCTTGAATATGAAATTAATGAAGAGCATTTATTGTATGATTCATAAGAATTCTTTGAAAAATTAGATAATGCAGTAGCTTCACATATCAAAGTTTGATATTTTTAAGAAAATAAAAGAAATATAAAATTATAATTACAATAATAAATTCTTATTTTCAGCTTTAAAATATATGAAATAATCAAAAGCTGAAAAAGTAAAATTAAGTTTTTTAAAAATTGATTCATAACTTTTCATTATTATTATTTACTTTTTCTTTTTTACTATTATTTAATTAGAAATCTATTCTGAATATTGTGTTTATAGATTTGAATCCCTAAAGCCAAATTATCCATATGTGTTAATCTCTATTACTAAGATTGAAGAACATTTGATTGTTCTTTACTTAGATCAGTCTAAAATTTGTTATCTTTTAATAATTACATTAATTCTTTCATTTGGTTAAGTTTAAATAGGTTTTTAAGTATCATTATATGCATAAGTACTAATCACTCTAGTTTTGCGATCATTTTTAATATGTTAGCTACTTCTGTTTTCAACACTTCTTTTTAAATAAGTGATTTCAGATCTCTAACTATTGCTACTATGGCGATCTGATCTTTCAGTACTACCTTACTTAAATTTTAAGTTGCTTTTATGTCTAACATAAGTAGTAGAATCTCTATAGAAATATATATATATATTAATACGTATTGCCTAAATATTTTGATTGTTTAACAGCTAATAATTAGGCTAATTGATCCTTTGATTAAATGGAAGGTTTTTGGGATATAGATTTTTAATTTTTTGAAGGCAAGCTAGTTTTTTTTGGAGCTGAAATATCTCTATGAGGAACAGGATCTTAAGATTTAGTTTTACCTTTTCTAATTTAATATTATTAATAAATTAATACGTTTATGATTTATTTTGATTTCTATCTGAAAAAGCTTTATTTAAAAACATTTCCATAGATGATGATCCTCCAGTTTCAGCTACTTTAGATACTTATGGTTATTTAACTTCTTTTGGTTATGTTTATTATTATATAAATTATTATTATTATATTAATTATTATTATTATTGATTTTATAAGAGATGCAATAATATTTATTGTTATACATCTTAATTATAAGGTTATGTAGGTTATTGTTAAGAATATAATTTTTATTTGACTAAGGGTGAAGATTTTTGTTGTTCAATTAATTGAGTTTTATTAAATAAATTCTATTTTTCAATAGAAATTGGTTTTGTAGTGATATTATCAGGTTTAATTTATTTTTCTCTTTGTTGCTTAAGTTTAATGAGATAGTAACAAGTAGAAATACAATTATGTTTATTATTTTTGATCATTTAGACAGCTTCTTCTTCTGAAATGTTATATTATAATAACTATTGAAGAATAGTGTAATCAACATCAATTTTAAAATTATCCAATCTAGATACTCTAATGATAATACTTAGTGTTTACTCCTTCAGGAATGGTCATTTTACCAGCAAAAAGAATAAAGTCATGTTATCTTATTTCTGGGATTGTTATTCTTTTTGAGGGATCTTTTTGAAGAATCTTTCTAAGGAGATCAGCAGCTTATGGAGATACACTTTTAGGTAATTTGTAATCAGAATGTTTAATCTTTTCATATAATTATTTAGTATTTTGATCTTCGAATGGTACACAACTATAATTAAAATAAGTATAATATACCCACAAATCATTGCATATAAAATTATACCACATGACCATATATCAGTTTTTAATCCTTCATATGATAAACCACTAACCATTTCAGGTGCAGCATAACAAGGACTTCCACATGGAGTATGTAATTTTTAGTTTGGTTAATAGAGATTAGATAATCCAAAATCAACTACTTTTACTTATTTATTAATATCTAAAAGAATGTTTTCTGGTTTGAGATCTCTATGAACTATACCTAATTGATGTATGTATTCTATAGCATTGAGAAGTTAAAAGAATATACGACCAGCCTCACGCTCTTCAAGTCGAGATTTTGAAACAATATATTCAAATAACTCACCTCCTGGTGCATATTCAGTTATGAGATATAATTTTATTTCACTTTCAATAATCTCTTATAACATATTCACATACCTCATATAATTAAATGATATTTGGATGACGTATTTTACGTAGAATATGAATTTCACGTTGAATCCTCACATAATCAGCCTCATTTTCTATTTTCTCTTTCTCTAAAATCTTGATTGCTACCTTTGTAAATTGAAGTGAGTTAATACTTTCTCATTTGTGCATTTGTGAATACCCAACTTCACTTTTCCAAAGGTTCCTTATCCTAAAGTTTTATCTACAACATAATTCTAAAGAGGATTGAAATTAGGGTCCTTAAATGTATAGAGTTTTGGCATAACAGAATTTATATTAAAATAATCAATCATCTAATTTTATGGTTATTCAATCTCTCTAAAGCTAATAACAATGCTTATGTTCCATTACGTCCACCACCTTAGGCAACTAAAGCATGATACAATTGTTTCACTAAAGCTAATCCTGGCAAACTCAAATTCATTCTATTAGCTTCATTAATTCCTATGCTTAAATCTTTAATAAAATGTTCAACATAAAATCCAGGTTCAAAATCTCCCTTTACCATTCTTAACCCTAAAACACTCCAAGCTGTTGAATTTGCTGCTCCACTCTTTATTGTATTTATCAATTATTCCAAATTCAATCCACATTTATGTCCATATAACAAACCTTCCACTGTTCCTATCATATTTCCTGCTAACACTATCTAATTTACCATCTTTGTATGTTAACCTAAACCAGCACTTCCCATCAATTATACATTTCCACTATAAACCTTTAATACATCATTTATTCTATCCAAACCCTTCTATTCTCCTCCACACATCACCACTAATCTACCTTCTCTAGCACCAATATCTCCTCCACTTACTGGAGCATCAATTGAATCTATTCCTTTCTCTTTTGCCTCCTTGAAAATTCTCTCTGCCAATTCAGGTGATGAAGTAGTGTGATCAACTAAAACTGTACCCTTTTTCATATGATTTAAAATTCCTTGATCTCCTAAAACTACTTATTCAACATCTTTTGGATATCCTAACATTAAAAAAACTGCATCTGAATTTTATGCCAATTCACGTGGTTGAACAAATTCTGCTCCTGCTTCTACAAGAGGTTATGCCTTAGCAAAGGTTCTGTTATAAATGCGTAATTTATGACCAGCTTTAAGAATATGCTTGCACATAGACACACCCATAACACCTGTCCCAATCCATCCAATATTCATTTTTATTAAAGAATCTATATAAATATGATATTCAACTCATATAACTATTTATGCATCTTTATATTTCTTATAATCAAAATCTGAAAAGAATCATTATTAATTTTTATGATTGATTGAGAGGTTCATTCAATTATTTGAAAAAAAATTATTAGTTGTATTAGTCTTTTGTAAAATAGAATTGTAATAAAGATTCATTATATTAATCTATTAATTATACTTATCGCTTAGACTTATTAATCATACAAATTAAATTAATATTTTGGTTGGTTATTATAATATAAAATATATTATCTACTAGAGAGATTGTTAAGTTTATGATATATTTATTTTAAAATGCTAATTTATACAAGTTACTTATATGTGCAATTTTCAATAAAAAACACTTTTTTTCTTGTGGAATTAATAATGAATGAGAAAAGCTCACTGAAATACACAATTATTAGTTCAATTTCTTTAGCAGTATCAGTTTTATTATTGATTATGGAGACAAGAAAAAAACAAAATATTTATGCAAATAATATAGGAGCAACATTGTTATGTGTACTGAATATAGAATTCATTTACAATGATATCCCTTAAATAAATACACTTTAATTAGGAATTTTCATAGTAATTTTGATAACACAATTTGATGATGGATAAAAATGGCATAAATTTATGAAACACTCTATTCTTGTGTATTTTTTTATTAGAACTTTCATATAATATAAGGAATAATTATATATAACTTAATTGTTAACATGCTTTTTATGGTAACCTTTGAATCATTGGATGTTACATTTGAAAAAAGAGAATGATTAGATTACATTAAAGAAGTAATCATTAGATATGACAAAATATAACATTGAATAAATTCCATAACTTGTTAAAGATTCTATGGAATAAGATGAATAGTGCAGTAGTATTTTGAGAAGTTTAAACATCTAAAATAATTTAAAGGAATTAAAGTAAATCGAACTTAACAATCCTTTTTTGTAATATAAAGATAATATAATGTTGAATACTATTTAATTGAAAGGATTAGAATCATAAATAAATACATCTAATTTAGATATACATTCAATTTGGAATTTATTGCCATTTGGAATTGGATTAATGAATAATCTATTTGAAATGGTGATAAATAATTAAAAATTATTATAGTTTTTAAAAGTGTCGGATAATGATGGAAGAAACATCATTTTAAGTTTAGATTCATTATTAGAAAGGTAAATTCCATATTTAAAATAAGTTGTGAATCATGGGAAAGTAAATCCATAAAGTAAATAGGTTCAAATCAGAGTAACCGATAGAGCAAAAGGTTTCTTAAGGGCCCATAATTATCTCTAATATCAAAGAGTTTAAATGAATAAAGCTCAGTAAATCCAGAGGGAGGCACTAACACTAATATAAATAATAATATTGCTTATTCTACAAATCCAAATAATTAAATTAAGGATGACTTAATGACAACAAAGAGTAGATTCAAAAATTTAAATTTAATATTCAAAAAATTTGCATAAAAGTCTCCTTCTCTTACTAATAATGTGGATAATTCTTTATAATCAATAGGATAAAGTATACAAATAATAAAGATAACTTAAGATGTTGGAACAATGAAATACTATTTAAGAATAAAAGTATATGAGATTGAAATAAATAATAAAATAAACTATCTATTTTTAATTGAGAATATAACAAATAAGGAAGAATTAAGATAGTTAAATATTAGATATAAGTATTAATAAGCACTTTTAAATTCATTATGTCATGAATTAAGGACACCAATGAATAGTACATTATCATAATTAAATGCATTATCTACATTGATTGCACCTGATATTAGAGATAAAAATTTATAGCCAGCAATTATTTCAGCTAAAAAATTAATGTTTTAATTAAATGACATATTAGATTATGCTTAAATTGATTGTAAAAATTTTAATTTGAGTATTTCTTAATTTGATATAAATGAAATCTTTGAAGTTTTAACAGAATTGTTTGAATAAGAATGTAAAGAAAAATAATTAGATTTTTAATTAAATTCTAAATCTAATTACATAATATATAGTGATAAAGAAAGAATACTTCGAATTTTAGTTAATTTGATAGATAATTCAATTAAATTTACAAATTAATTTGGTTCTATTATTGTAAATGTTTATGAATAACAATAACGTATTGTATTTTCAGTAGAAGATAATGGTGTAGGAATGTCAGAGAAAACTATAAATTAAATAAAAAATAGAGATGATATGCAATTTTATGATTCATCATTATTCTAATAAACTAAATTAGGTCTAGGATTGAAAATAACTTAATAAATAGCTAAATTTCTATGTGTTAATAATGAATTAATAATAGAGAGTATTGAAAATGAGTATACAAAAATATCATTCAAGATAGAAAATCTTCATAAATTTATTAACTAATAAAAATTTCCATCATTTTAAGGATGTAATATTACAATAAGTTGTAATTGCATTCAAATATTAATTGTAGATGATGTAAGATTTAATCATAGTGCAATTGAAGCTCTTTTATCATAACATAAAATAAAAATGGATAGTGTTTATAATGGTTAATAGGCTATTGATAAAATATAATAAAAATTGAAGTCTCCATGTTGTAAAACTTATAAATTGATTTTTATGGATATAGAAATGCCTGTTAAGAATGGTTATTAAGCTTCAAAAGATGTAAATATATATTTCTTTATTAAAATAGATTACTGAGATTATGACATAATAAAATTTAAATGATTAATGTGCAATAGTGATGTGTTCTGCTTACAATGGAAATGAAAATAAAGATACTGTAAAGAATTGTGGCATCAAAGAGATATTACCAAAACCAATAGAGTAAAAATAACTTAAACAATTACTTGATAAATATTTATTATGATTAAATTTATTAATAAATGGAAGTACTTATAAAATTATTGATACTCTAATTAATAATTAAGGACTTCATTGATATAGCTTTTATTTGGTAAGATAAAAATATGATAACCATATCCCTAAATATAATATCACTAAGTATAGGCATAATACTTTTCATACTTGATTATTGCAAATTATCAATCAATTATTTAAAAGTGGGCCTTTTGGGATTATGTTTAATAAATTCTGAAATACCATTTTAACAAAAAATTAACTTTGCTAACGTTGCCTATTTTGCATACACTGCACTGATATTATTCAGCATTTACTCTAAATTCTTATCAACCAGACTTATTGTTCATTTTTAACTACTTTATATATCTATTAGAGTTTCTTTTACTTAACATAATTCTGATTTGCATCCACTTCTGATCATGATCTTTTTATAACCAATTAATCATTATATTATAAATTACATGACTAGAGTCAAAAGATCATAATTTACTTAAACCCTGGATTAAGTAGAGTTAAAATTTAAATAGACATAATTTGAATAAGATCAATTATTATCAAGTGAAAGTAAAAGAGACTTTATTAAATATGACTTAAATGAAAGTATTATTCTAAAAGCTTTTAATGGAGAAATAGAAACTCCTCAACAAGAACATAAATATATAGGAGTTATTTAAGATCAAATGGATTAAAGAATTATAGTAAAAAAACACCCAAATAACTAACCAACAACGCTTTTATCTGATTCAAATTATAATTTAGAACCATTAAAACTAGAGAGAAATACTAGTACTAAGTATTCAGAAATAGTGTCAATAATGAATAATTTACCTTTTGGTATACTTTTTGTAGATTCATCCTTAAAAGTTTTAGACTTTAACTAAAAAGTGACCTAACTGCTAGGTTTAACTAATCCTTGTGACATGATTGCATTCTTAGATTAAGCTATTTAAAGGTAATGTTAATAAATTATTAAAGCGGAGATTTTTGTGAATTTAGATCATCAAAGAAAGTAAGAAAACCTTAAAAATCACCCAGTAAAATGACATTTATAAAATAACCCTCAATTAGTCCATAAAAAATATTCTTAGATGAGCATATATCTGATGTATTTTCATAATATAACAATAATGCATCCTAATTTAAAGGAGAAAGTGATGCCAATATTGGAAAAAATCTTAAATCTATATTTTAGAATTTTAAAAAAATTCATCAAAGCTAAATAA